TTAACGGATGATAGTTGCCAATCTTTATTTCAAATTATAGTTTTGTGCAGAAAACTATAACCCAATTACAGTCCTCCAAATTATCATTGTTAGACAGTACAGTTTTAATAAAAGAATTTAAGTCATTGTGTCAAAACGTTAAAGGTAGGTACTATTGGAAAGAAAATTTTTAAAAAATTTAAAGTAACCATGGAAAAAATAGTGGTTACTAGGTTCTTTCAGAAGTGGTTCAAGTACTAGCTGGGACATTTTTCGAACCACTTAATTTCATACTATCTATTACAGTAAATTTGAAAAATGCCCCAGTTAGATTAGTTGGTGTCGAAAGAAGTTTTTCTATTTACAAATATATGTATTCAGGTAGAAGCCATAAGTTTTTATTAAAAAATGTTAACATCATTTGATAATCTATTGTTACCACAATTCAAAATAATATTTATATGTTAAAATAATTGTATATGTTTTATTTCCATAAGTAACCTCAAAATTTTTTAAAAGTTATGGGTTGTGGAACATTGGGGTAGAAAGAAATATACTGGACGATGTCCTTGCTCGGCAAGACACTTTTAGGGTTGACGTATTCTTGGGGAGGTATCAAATAAGTTACTGAACTAATGGACAAAAGCAAAAGTGTGAGAGAGAGGAAATTGATGAAAGTGATGAAACATGCTAATACGTCCTATGTAAGTGCACAACACTGATTGATTAGATTGGTGCTTACGTAAGGGATTACCTTAAGCTGGTGCAATCTGTTTTAAGATAGACAATGTGCCAAAACCCGAAGTGTAATTATCTAAACCAGGAAAAGCCATCTTTAGGAGAAACCATCCATATTCATTCTCGTTATGGTTGGATTAGATAACAAGGAACATTTGTTAATAGTGTAGTGTTAGTAGGACATCCTAAAATAGATTAAGAGCAAGTACTGGAACACTGGAGAAAAGCTTTTGAGGAAAAAGGTTTGAAACTTGAAAAACAAAAAGATAGTATTTTGGATGTTACTAAAAACATTAGACTAATGTTTTTATTTTGAGAACGATTTCCGTGGAAATTGAAACGACAATAAACGTACTTTAACCTTTAATTGTGGCTTATTCCCATTTAAATAGTAATTACTTTAAAAGGTTAGTTTGCCATGTAATCAATAAAGACTTTCACCCTTAATCATGACTAGATCATAATTAATTCGGTTTTTTTAAATATTTTATTTAGTGATTTCATTTCACAAAAAATATAATCTTTAAATTGATATAAAAAAATTAAAAGAAGTAATATTTTCTGAATGAAAATTCTTTGTCTTGATTTAATTTAAAAAAGAAAACACAGAGAAGAGATCTTTTATTTGAATACAAGTCCAAACAATTATTGATAATTATGTATAGGAATTTTAATGAATTTGTAAGTTTAATTATTCGGATTAGCGCATACAATATATGAATTTGATTAATTGTAAAATTGTCTGACTTTAATAAATTTTTTTTATTCTTTTTTAAAAAATTATTTAATAGTTTAGTATTACAAAATTATGTGGTTTAATTTATTTTCCTATTGTCTATCCTTTCCTCGACGATCTGCAGGAGCTAATCAATAGAGTTGATATGGAATGCACAAATTGGGGACTGTCGATAAATATCGATAAAACTAAATACATGGTGACCAGTAAAGTGGATATCGGCGCAACCCAACTGATATTAAACCAACAACCGTTGCAGAGAGTTCAGAGATTCAAATACCTTGGATTACCCAAAATCTAGATCCATCCTTCTAAATTCGATGTAGAATTGAACAGGCAAGAAAACTCATTTCAAAAATTCAAGCCTCTATTATCCAATAACTCATTAAATTTGGAAATCCGTGAAAAGTTTACAAGATGTTACGTGTGGTCTGTACTTTTGTATGGATGTGAAACTTGGACTCTAAACGCCGATATTATGAATAAAATCGAGGCGTTTGAGATGTGGTTGTATCGAAGGATACTAAAAATTCCATGGACTAGCAGAACCAGAAACGAAGAAGTTCTTCGAAGAATGGGACATCAACGAACTCTATTAAATATTATTATGAGGCGTAAACTAGAATATCTTGGACATATAATCAGAGGACCAAGATATGAGTTCCTTCGGCTAATTCTCAACGGTAAAATCGAAGGAAAGAAATGGATAGGACGGAAGAAAATCTCCTTGGTTGAGGAATTTGCGGCAGTGGACAGGTTTGACAGCGGACCAATTGCTACACGTAGCGCAAGACCGAGATCAGTATAACAATATTATAAGCATAGTAGTCGCCGACGTTCCGTAGGGATATGGCACTTTAAGAAGAAGATCCTTTCCTCAAAGGCAACTTCTTAAAGCATACATTGAAGCCACTTATTAAAATTAAGGATAAAATTAGCCATGAGATCAAATTTTAATTAAAATTAATTTATTTGCTTTTGCAAAATTAAGATTAAGGCATAAATTAATTAAACATATAAAAGGTCCAAATTTGAAAATCATAATAATACATATAATAAGAATCATCCTAACACTCTGAAGAAACTGAACAGATCATTTAAACAGTATATTCAATTTTGACAAAAATAAATTATACTTCTAATGTCATTTAAATTGGTTTATGAACAGTAGAGATTGAACATAAGATTTTCCGCTAACTGCCAGAGGAAATTGGCAGCCATTTTAAAAATAATATACATATAAAGTAAATATCGCCTCGTCATTCGTTTGAAGAGCAGTTAAAACTGTAACAAATAACTGAACAGTCCATCAAGCATAATCGTCATGATTACCATTACAATGTCCACTTTGATATGTGAGTACCAGGTTTATTATTTGAAGATAAATATTTTAATTCGAAACACAACCACAATAATTTATAGTACGACTTTACATTGTAACATTCTTTTGAAGACTGGAGAATTTGAAATTTAAATGCATATTTTCTAACGGGATTCGGGTGATTATAATAATATTATGATAATTTTTCGAGCTGCAGAAAAGTACAGTTCGCAAGTAAATCTGATTCGAGCATCGCTTGAGGCTCGAGCAGATTGGACTTCTACGCTTATATTTTTATAGTATGGGATTATCTTATTGTCATTATCAAATTCAGACAGTAGCAATCAATAGTAATAAAATTCTATTTCGATTCTTTTAACCACAACCATTTTGAACGCTCCAATAATTTTACAAAAGTGGGAAGAAGTTATCAGTACCAATACGAATACAGCTTCGTAGTGTTGAAATACTTCCTTTAACTGAATGCCGTACTTGAAATATATAGAAAATATGCACGTGCATGATTAAAAAATAGACTTCTTGTAATTAAACAGGTCGATTCCAAAAGGTCTTAAGTCAAAAAAAAAATTCAGGAACGATTTTTTTCTATGTTACTTTGGAATAGAATCAGTCATGTAATTGGCAGGTTCAAATTCTTTTTTCAAGACAATTGAAAACAAGATTTGAACACAAAATCAGGTTTTTTAAAAAGTTAGCACTTTTGGAAAATTGATGTGGGAGACAACTTCATATTATTATTCATTTGTAAGTTTATTGATAATCACAGCTTGTCTTTAAGATGCCAGCAAATGTTTAATAACTGTCTAAGTACATAATTAAAAATTAATTTTTATTCATTAAAATTAATTATTCACATTTTTGTCAAAATTTGAAAAGTAATGTTGAAAAATCTTTTAAATAAAAGGCTGTAATTCATCATACACTACAGTACTATTATCGTTGGAACCATTTTGCACATTGGTAAGTGCAGTATTATAAAAGTCTTTTGAACTTTTCGATAATGAAATAAATTTGAGAAGGTTTTACTGTACTATACACTACCATAAAATTGCATTATTTTTTTTATAAATTTTAAAAGTACTAGAATCACCGTAGTAGGTATATTTAGCTTTAATGTCTGTATTACTTTTATTTAAAAATGAAAAACCTCGTTGTTCGCGCATCAAAAAAGGAAGCTTCTTCAATAAAACTCGTTTTGCAGCATCCATGAAATCAAAAAGTTCCCAGTCTTCTCCTAAAACTTTAAGTGTAGCTGAAGATGCAAATACTTTTTAGTTCTCCGCTGGTTTAACTTTTGTTTCTTTTCTTCCAAATATTTTTTTAAAACGTTCAAATACTCTATCAGGAGACATATAGCTATCTCCCCTAATTCGAAAGCAATGCTGAATATTTCACGCACGACCTCTGTGAGTTTTGCTTTATCCAGACCAGAATCAGATATAACTTTATCATTACCCAAATCAGAAACAGGAAAAATCTATACTATGGGAGAAGGTATATTTACACTTTCTGTTGAGGAAATAGCAGGTGCTTCTCGCAAGGAATCTGCATGATCATGACTCATTTTAAACTCCATTTATACCAAATAGGTAAGTGCAAAACTCAAAACTTTAATAATTTTTCCTTTTTCTTAAAGTTTAGTAGAAATATTCTTAACAAAGACTAGTCGGTTCATTTTAAACAATTTTGTCTAATTTGGAGCTAATGAGTTAAACCTGGTTTTAGTTATATTGCACTGAGATGGCTTCAGAAAGTCATAACGTGTCCTTGTTCTTCGCTTTAATAATGCTTGGGCTGGTGATACACATGTGACAGTAGATGGGGCATTTCTATATGTGAACAAAAAATTAGTAAGTTTATTTAGGATAGTGATCTTATTTATACCCTGATTATCTAAAAATAGTGCTTTCTTTAAACCCTTTTAAACCATACTAGATATCTCCGACTCAACTTTAGGCTTTAATCCATAAGGCATACTCTATGGAAAATTGGTTTAATATTTTCTTTAATTGGTAAATCTATTGTAAAATTCTTAATAAATGAATTTGGCTAATCTTTCAAAACTTCATTGAATTGAATGTTTATATCTACAATAAACTTTTCTTTACGTTTCGTATTGAGCGTTGACTCAATAGACACATTCTGACCAATTGACCTACACTTTGATTTTTGACTAACTTTTGTAGCCAGGTCCTTACTTTTAGACTACAAGTTTGACTCTTCAGACTCCTGACATATTTGAAGTATATTTTTCCAGTCTAAGTTCAGAATACTCAACCAGGTTCTTCTTAACAGTGGATTTAACTTGTACTGGCAATCTAAAATCACAATAGGTAACTAAAATGTACAGTTTTTATAGACTACTGCAACAACAATTTCTCCTACTATTCTGACATTATCCCCCATTGCTACTTTAAGACTATAAGTTACCAAAAAAAGTTCTAAAAAACCAAAACTTTTTTTATATTCTCACAAATGCATTACAGATTTATAAGCTTTTGGATCAATCTCAAATATTAGACTTGTACATTCTACACTGAGACTTACTCTATGCAGTTTTTCATTCTTACTATGAATCTAGCTAATGAAACTTAATTCCAATGAGTCATCGCTAGATATTGAACCTGCTGCTGAATTTTTTTGATTTTTTGGACCTTCTATATAGTTGACTCTTTTACAGACACGGCTGGTGTGCCTTTTCTTGTGACACTGAAGACATTCAAAATTTTTCTCAGGACAAGTTGTAGGGTTATGTCTCCTTGCACATTTGGAACAAGACTTACAACGCTCCTCTCTATTATCAGGCTTGACGTTACTTTTATTTGAGTACTTATCCAATTTCCAACGCTCCTCTTTATTATCAGCCTTGACGTTACTTTAATTTGGGTGCTTATCGAACTTACTGGACTTTTTACCTGAAAAATTTACTTTGCCGACTTTGTTTATGTCTCCTCCTACTAACAATGCTTGACCTTCTGGTACTTCTTTTGCTAGAGCTATTTGCACGAACTCGCGAAGAGTCTCATCCAGAAATTCGCCAAAACTACAGTCTTTAGATAAACTTTTTAATTTCTCAGCAAACTCTGTGAGATTCTCATAAGATTCCTGGTAGCAATTATAAAAGACAAACCTTTCGGCTATTACTAACAGTTTTGAACTAAAATGTGTGGATTTCAACTGTGAATAAGTTCGGGTACTTGGACTTCTGGAGCAGTTAAATCTTTTATAATTTTATAAGCTTCTTTTTCCATTAATGTAAGGAACAATGGTACCTTGTTTTCATCTCCTACCTCATTGCAAAACAACTGCTCGATTCTTTCCAAATATGTGGTTACATCATCCTCTCTGGATTTGAAAAGTTCGATTTGTCCTATACAGGCCATGTTACTAAAATTGCGTGAGTAGCAATAATCTTGTCGCCAAACTACTGTTGTGTATTTAGAGCAGTAAAATGTGAGTAAAACACAGATTTACTCTAAAAGACAATTATTTATTATTGACTTAAACATGAGGTATATTTTTAATATGGATGTCTCATAACAATTGACATGACATAATTTTGACATACAACATATACAGATTGAACGAGTTAAATTCGGAACATACGAAATATTGTGTATTTCGGCTCAATTCTGCTGTAGGTGGTTGGCCAACAAAAGGTTGTCAAATAATTATATTATAAAAATCCAATACTTCAGCGAGCTGCTGGATTCTGAACTAATTCAAGAACTCATTCATAGGTGGTCAAACCACCTATCGCTTCCTAAAGCCGGCCACGGTATAGCGGTGTCGTTCGACATAATCGGACAGAGGCGTTGTTCAATTTGTTGGTATATTTGGTGCGCCCACACACCATACTGCGTCGCAGTATTTGTTCGGTTCTCGACCATGTCAAATCAAACAATCATTTTAGCGTGTCTTACTTTGTGGATAACTAAGCGTAAAAAGAAACCTAAAATAAAACGTAGATTCTGGTGCAAAGAATCGAAGATTTTGGTGCAAAATAAATCTCGTCTGCCCCTGCACCCGATTTACTGGATTGCAATGCTAATTTTAATTCTCTTTTATAGGATGTTCTAAAATTGCTAATTTTTTTTCTTACAGACTCTTCATTCGCATCTTTGTTTACTTCTTGGAACTTTAAAACTAGAATGTCCATTGCCTGTTTTCGGTCGTTTCTATCGTGATACATTTTACCTTTTATTCGCTATAAGCATTCTTGTATTTCATATAATTAAAAAAACTCTCTTAAAAAATTCTCGCTAAATCAAGCCATTTCGATTTTCTAGAATATGATCAAAGCAAGTGTGTAGTTAAAAAGGAAGTTGAACAACGCGAGTGGCGAGCTGTATCATGAGTGGCCGGCTTTAGGTAAGCCCCTCTTTCGTTAGGGGGCAAAATAACTACAAACTTCTGAAATAACTAACAAACAATTAAGTTTATTTTTATTATTAGTCTGTTGTAGTAGATTGGTAAATACAATGAAAAATATAGGCAATTATCCAATTTATTTAATGATACGAAGAAGATATAACTCTCAAAAAGATCCGCAAATCGGATTATTACACGGCGATTGGCAACATTGACTTTGAGCTGCGCTCTAGACTGTGGTGGGTTCTAAAAAGAGACGGATAGTTAAACGATATTTTATACAATGTCTATCACCGGGTATGGATTTATTTTTGTCCAAGTTTTATATTGGTCCAATATTTCAAATGCAGTTCAAACAGACATATATTAAATTGTATGATCCGTTTTAAAGTCGTTTAATCTGTATACAACAACTATAAGGAGACTATGTTGACGAATTCCGTCTAAAATTTGTTGTTTCATTGCTTAGCCCGGGACTTAATGAGTGAATTATTATTGCATGCGTATACTCTTATACGTATGTAAATTTTTTATGTTTAAAAGTATCGATCAAGTTCTCGAATGCAAATTTAAGTAAATGATATACATATTTTTCAGCCAAACTAACAGCGCCTATATTTTCACGAGATTTAAACACCGCCTGTGGCGAGATTAGATTAGACTTCCTGTTGATTTTTCATTTTTGTTGGTAGCTATCTTTTTCTCATTATCAAAACTAAACCAGTTACAAGTTTTTGTGTCGTTGGTTGTTGCTACCTACCCACGGAGGCGTATCTAAATGCAGTGTGAGAGTCAAGGCCTGACCTATAATGATTTACTGACTGACTGGCTCGCTGAAAGAAACGACGTGGAGATTGTGGTTTTGAATTGTATACAATTCGTGAAATTCTTTGTTTAAAAGAAAAGTTTATCTTTCATTTTAGGAAATATATTTGTATATTTGCAATAAAAATATGGCCTAGCTATTCATATCGATATTAATTGTTGAAAAATATTGTTGAAATTACGTTTTCCGACTTTCTAGGAAAAAATTTCTTACAATACATTATTAGAATAAACAGTTACACTACAATGTATAAAAAATTGATATCTAATGCAAATACAAGAAAACTACATTTAATAGAATAAAATAGAATAGAAATATGCTTTATTGTCACTGAAAATTGTACAATTTTATGGACAAAGCTTACAAAAAGTAAAAAAAAAAAATAAAAATTACAATTTACTAAATTTACATCAATCGTCAATATCACAAAATATAAGATAATAAAATATACAATCCATGGCAAAATTTACCTAAATTGCAAATTGCATAATAAAACCTTACGAACTAGTTTACGAATAAGTTTAAGCTGCTGCATGTGATACCCAAATATATAGAAAAATATTTTAATTGCATGTATCTAAGCGTGTTGTAATTTCTTAGTTATTCGTTAAGAAAATCTCCCAGTGAATAATACGGTCTTTCAGATAGGCAACACACTAAAATTAACAACAATAATCTGCATAAAATTATAACACTAGCAGAAGAACAACAACGTTTTAGATCGGGCATAATGAAACACTATAGCATATATATTAGGTAGGGTAGACTGGGGCTAGTTGTGCCACTTTGGACAAAATAATTTTTAACATTTTTTTCGTAATTTTTAGGGCTGTTAGATTACTTTAATGAGGTACTATTTTTAATTGGGAATCATTATTTGGGAACATCAGCAATTTTTAAGCAATACCTTACAGTATGTAAATAGTTTTACAAAATGCACATATTGTCACAATTTGCCCCAATATGGGGTAAGTTGTGACGAACTTGGGGCAGGTTGTGACAGTAAATATTTTTAAATATAATAAACTTTAGTTGGAGAATAATAACAAAGTTTCCATAATAAATTTATTTTATAGTTAAGTATAGATACATAAATGTTTGATAAATGTTTATGTAAGAAACAAATGTGTAGAAAAACATCTAGTGAATTTAAAGTAAAATAAAAAACTTAATCGCTATCGTCAATTTGTGCTGATTCTACTTGTAGTTCTGAAGAGTGGCAGTTTATACAAACATAATAAAGATCATCTTTTGTGCACTTTACATGAGCCCACCTCTTGCATTCCATACATTGCACCCAGTCTTCTCCTAACCTAGACTTTTTATATGGTCCCATACAAACTAAGCAAAAGTAATCTTCTTCCTCTTCTTCTGAGCTGTCTTCTCTTTTTCTTGTTGCGGTCTCTTTCTTTGGCGCTGCTTTTTTCTTAGGCAACAGTTGTTTTGAGTCAAATAATTTTTTCTTTATTTTATCCTCTTTGCACTTTATTGTTTCCTTCCTCTTTAACTCTTCACTGCGAATTGTCTCCTTGACAGGTGTGCTAGTCAAAATTGCAGATGTTAAGCTCTTGCGTTTTTTATTTTTTCGAGGACCAGCTTTTGGCAGAGGTCTTATATCCATAGGGCTGACAGGCAGAACTTCGGCATGGAATGATCCTGGTAGGTTGGCCTGCGATGATCCTTGTTGATATGGTCCTGGTTGATAGGTATGGGAGGGTCCTGGCAGGTTAGCATAATATGACGACGGTTCAGGTTCATCGAGATGCTAAAACTCTTTAAGCTGCCCAGCACTGGCTTCCTCATTACCATCTACGATGTCAATAGGCCTATTCAAAGGTCGGTCGGTCACCGAAGAACACAGAAAGTCTTCTTCATTAAAAATGTTTCTATTGAATTCCCATATTCCTGTAGAACGAAATCCTGCCTGAACATTTGTTGGTGTTACAGCTTTAGGTAATGCTGTTTTCACTATACTTGGGATGTCATAAATTGAGACTGTGTTTCCAGGATGAGATTTCATCCATCCACACATGGCGTCGTTTAAAAACTTCTTAAATGGACCAAAAACGGAAACATCCAGTGGTTGAAGTCTATTTGTTGTATGGGGAGGGAACGATAAGAGAGTAATACCGTGCTCTGTACAATAGTCAAGGACTTCGATATATAGGTGAGCACTGTGGTTGTCTAACAGAACTAAAACCGGTGATTTCTTTGAGCACCTTACTTTTTTTACAAAATGCTTCATAAAAAACAAAAAGTCCGGGCCTGTTATCCAGCCACTTGGGTTAGCAGTACCACAACAACCTACTGGCCCATCACGTACAAAATGCTCCTTGTAATACTTACGTGGAAAAACGAACATAGGAGGAACTGAGTTACCCTCTGCGTTAATAGCAAGAACCATAGTAACATTGGTCCCCCTCTCAGCTGAAGTGACACCACCAACTCTTTTCTCGCCTTTCTTCGCTATGATTTTTACCGGTTTTTGGACAGTCCCAGTCCCTGTCTCGTCTATATTCCAAATATCATTAGCTGTAAAATGGTTTTGACTTAATACTAATTCGAGGTTATCAAAGAAGCCTCAGGAACACGAATAGACACATTATTGTTACGTTGCATGAACTTTGTAAACCAATCATTACTGGCGTGTTTTGTTGCTACCCAATTCTCAGGCACAAGAACTTTGTTCGCTATAGCAAATTCAAAAGCTAAACTTTTCATTTCTTTTGGGCTAATACCATAAAATATTTTCGCTGCCTGAACAGCATATTCACAGAGCTCTTCTTCTTGTTGTTGTGAAAATATCATTCGAGGTCTTTTGTAACCCATTTCTACCACTCCATCTGGATTGGTTTGTTGTTTTTTTATATATCTAAGTAAGGACATCCGGTTAACGCCATATTTTTCAGCTGCTTGCCTTAAACTACACGATCCAGACTTAACATCTAACGAAGCCGACTCGTAACTGTTTATATTACTCCGACCACGTTCCGTTTTCCTTTTATAATTTCTCACCAGTAACAAACCCATAAACATGCATTAAAATTAGTAGGGGCATGTTGTGACACTGTCACAATCTGCCCCAAGCCTTTCGTCACAACTAGCCCCACCGTACGCCATTTTACATAAAGCCACTTGCACAGACCTTGACACGTCGTATAGAAACCAAACTG